ATCATCTCTTCAGCCACAATGCAGAACAACACCGCCGCCGCCATGGACTCCAACAACGACGGCTTCAAGGTCTTCCTGAACAAGGTCATCCGCCGATCAAGGAAGGAGACCAAGACCCGGGGCGTGGAGATCTCCGCCCCCTTCGACTTCAAGAAGTGCAACCTCGACCTCGCGGGCATCAGCGCAGATGAGTAAGTCTCTCTTCCTCCAATACCTTTTTCCAACAACATCGATGCTAACATCCTTCTCAGAATTGCCATGCTCAAGGAACAAGCTGTCGCGAGCCGCATCGGCATCGCCGACTTCGACTCCGACTACCCCGTCAGGCCAATGTTCTCCATCCAGCCCTACATGTCCAGCGCCTCCATCTCCACCGTCGGCAGCTCTTAAACATCTCTACACCACACTCTACTCTACACAATCAAAAAGACCGACGGACGTAATGGGGTCCTGCAACTGGATACATCCGGACTGGCGCTGGTGAAAGAAAGACACTTGCACGGAGGAGAGGGGGTTGTCGAATATTTAGCGAAGCGTGTGGTACTATGATACCTTGGAATTCGAGCGACGGCGTTTCACGGGGCGGGCAAAGCTACAGCGACGACGACAGTCGAATCGCACTTGTTTTTTGTTTTGTCATTTACTTTGTTTAAGAGTTCAGTACGATACCACTAGGTACGCAGTTGCGACTGCCGAGAAGCCCAAGAGCTGAGGATGAAAGGGGTAGAGGCCGATATAGAGAGCCTGAAGATGAATAAACCAAAAGATATCATCAACACTTGTTCTGGACCACAGTGACTATTCGGTACTGATACAGAGCATGAAGACGAGTCCGACTCAAAATGTCGTCGCTTTCCGCTCTTGGTGACAATTTCAATGCTGACACCTCAGTCTGACAAGTGAGGCTGTGATTTCAGGCTGCCACTTGCGGGATGACGGGCTGCCTAGCAACATCCGTCACCGCCAGCCTTGCGAAACTGCACTGCCTTATTCCCAGCCGTCATCGCCCGAGAGCCAACGATCCCCACCTCGGAGCCGTGGGGTAAATCCGGCGCGGAGCACAATCGTCAAACACTTGAAGGCGTAATGTAATGCTGGACAATGATGCGCAGGATCGTGTACGTCTTGTGCCTCGTGCATATCGCACTCGCGTCGCGGCTTTCATGTAAGCTGCGCCCCACGTGAAGCCGTGGACGGGAACGTGGACGTGGACGTGGACTGGGTACGTCGTCGATCCTCCACAGTTTGACAGTCCACTCACCGAGTCCCGAGCCGACGTATCTCGGTGACAAGCGGAGCGTCGCCAGCCCCTGCTGCGTTGCGAGCGGGCGTCAGGTCGCAGCGCATTAGCGGCTGAATAAGCTGGGAGCGAACCCTGGCTGGGATTGCGATGGAAGCAACCAGATCGGGACGGAGGGGTCACAAGGCGCCGGATAACGGCATCGAGTTGGAGTTGTCGGCGTCGGCATTTTCAGGGCCATTGATGAATCACGGGGTTAAGTGTCCATAGTCCGGTGGCCGGATGTAAGACGGCGCAACCTGGAGCCCGTCCTCCGAGTGTCCCTCGATGCGGATTTTAGGGAGTTCGTATCTACTCTGTATCCGCATCATGATCCATGGACATCCATGTTTCGTGGCAGTCGGTTCCTGGACTAGAACCTGTTTTGGGCAGTCAGCATCCTCAGGCTGTGTCTGCCGTGCCGCAACGTTCTGGCGGCTCTTTTTCGTGATTGATGGCCTCGTGACGTGAAAGCCGTGACGGCCCCCCACGAACTGCGAGGAATCTCGGTGCGATCTGCCATTCTCCGGGGAAACGCTGGCTGGCGAGCTTGCGCACCAATTGCGAATTTGTGGAGGAGCTTCTCGTTTGCCAATGTCTCGGAACGTCGCCTCTGTTAGGGCACGACCTGACGGAAACCCCAGGGCTCGCGGTGTGGCGGTCTTGCGCAATATTCAGGGCTGAGCTTCCGGGGTGCTGGGCGACTGAACCCTTCCCGTTTCTAATTAGACGGGCATCAATGTCGTGTGCCATTGGGCAATGAAGATCGCATCGCCCATGTCCGTTCCGTGTGCGAGATTCCAGATGGTAATGATTACGGACAGGTCAAGGCCCTTTGGAGGGGCAGATTACACTGACAGTTTTGAGCGTGCCGCCATTCGTCCGCGGGAGCAAGGGAGATGACAGGCCGAGGAGCATGGGATTGAGTGTTTGCTGTTTTGGCCCGTTTTGGATAAGAGGAGGGATATCAAATGGGGTTGACCAGGGACGCGACCTGGGTTGAACTGGCGGTGTTGGCTGTGACTTGTTGTTTCTTTTTCCTCGTGCATCTTGCGGAGCGGTGACTTACCGTAACTTGGCATCTCGCCTCGCCAGGTATGAGGGTGCTGATCTGGGGCTGGAAACGTGGTTGTGAACGTGGTTTTGGACGTTTGGCCCTGATGTGTCTTCCAGAGTCGTGACGATGTACGAGTAGTTGATATTGGCCAGCTTTTCGTTGACGACATCTAGATATCTGATCGGCGCAGAAAAAAACAGTCGGCAAGCTCATGTCGACGGCGTATCGATGCTATCGACGATGCTCAGGGCAAGGTCGCTGAGCAATAGGTCCGCTTTTGATTTAGCTCCGGTCATGCGCATGAGGTTGAGCCTTGCTGGAGATGAAAAATTTGCAGCGATGGTGATGGGAAATGTGGTGGTGAATCACCAATGAGCATCGCTAGCAGACGGTACCAGCGGGGGAACTTGCAGCAGCAGTCTGCAGCTTGTCCGCTGGAAGGAACGCTCCCACTGCACGAAGTGGAAGGCGGGGCTGGGGGTTCGAGGCAGCTTCCCGACAGGGCGGGTTTGTACCAGAAATGTGGCCCCCGTCCTTGGTGGACCTCCCTCCACTCAGTGGCCCTCCGACCATCCCGCACCTTCCGGCTTCTCCCAGTATTGCAACCGTTGTGATTGGCCATCGAGAGGCCGACATCTATCCGCGTCCACGACCTTCCGGGAGGGAGAGAACAGATTTCGGCCAGTGACAGTCTCTTTCACGACATCTTTGGCGGGTTACTGAGTATCGATACGGAGTACTTATTGCCCTATCGACAACCAGCCTTGACCGGTGCTCCACGCAACCAGAACACTGGTGCCGGTTTCTTCTCGCTGGCCGGTGGCAGGGACCACGGCGGGAATGTCGTCGAAGAGTCATCAAGCTCGTTTTGGCAGTCGTCTGGACTCTGGACTTGGGACTGGGAGGCCCCCTTGGTCCATTGCCCCCCAAATTTCCCCGTGTTTTCAAGAGGGTGTTGACGTTCCAGCGAGCTTGGCTCTAGCCTGCAGCGATGATCAATTTCGATGTCGTCGTGTCCTCAGGCGCCAGGGCGTCGTCATCTCTCCAGAACGGCCTCGATGATGGTGTTGAACAGGTACCGTTTCTTACATTGGCAGCTTAGATGACACGCAGACTACTGCTCGTAGACCCGAGTGAAGTCGGTTCGGACTACGGATACTGCTGAGGCATCCGTCCGATGGCCTCGAATTCATCCGTTCTCTCCACGTCGTCACCTGTCAGCCTTTCGCCTTACCAAATCTAAGCTACCAGTTTGGTTTCAAACCCAAAGCGTGTAGAGGAAGGCGAATATCGGAATCACATAGCACAGAGGCCACCTGGCTTTGCCTCAGTATCTCACCGGTGTTTGATGTTTTTGCTAACTTTTTTTGCCCTTCGCCCCGTCCCTCCATCTCATGCTGAAGGTCCATTCCAATTAATCGTTGCTTTTTCTTCTCTTCTGTTCTTGTCGAGTCCAAACACGACAGGGAGGTAGCGAGTGAGTGCCACTGAGGCTAGACAGGCCTGAGCCACTCGCAAGCCCGAAAACAAGGCACCAACGGCCCTCGGGGTTTGGTGCCTGAGTCATAAATGTCCACCCCGAGCAGATACGTATCCAATAGAAAAACGGGAAACGGGGTCAGAAACCGGTACGTACAGAGTACCTATCTTAGTAATTAAAGTTCCCGAATCCACCCTTGGCCGTCACTGCGAATAACGAGCTCCGAATCCACGCGAAAATGCGCGTTTTCTGCCGGAACCTCAAGACTCAAGTCCCTCCCTGATCCACCACCGTTTATCATTCTGACTGTCACTTTGCGGATATTCCCCCTGCCCTGCCATGAGCCCTTGCTAGCGTCCTGCAGCTCTTCTGTTCCGTTCTCCATTCCTTCCAGAGGAGACGGCGGAGACTGGAAGACAGTCCCAGAATCTGAATGACTGAGAAGAGGGCGAAAAAGGCGGGCAGAATTGGCATTGGCAGAGCAAGTGAGCCGTAAAAGTACCTCAAACCGTAGACCGTAATAGAAATTACCTAGACCGCAGATAATTACTCGGCTGTACGTGCGCCTCATTGACTCCGTCCGATCTCAAACCTATCCATCCTCCCGCTGGCGGTACCTCCCAATTCGCCTACGTAGGTCCCAAGCTACGGCTCCTCTTCACCTCCCGCTACGCTACGCTGCGCTACCCTGTTCGCACTCTTGTGGTTTTCCACTCAGAAAATCTACCGGCATCTAATACTTCTAGTTCGCCCCCCTCGCTCACAGCTCTCGACTTTTTTTTCCTTCTCTCCTCCCTCCAATCCCAATATATCCCCCATTTAATCAGATTCGCGCGTTTGTTTGACGGCTACGGTGCTGTCAAATGAACCTGCAACGGACTTTTCACTTTTCTCCCCATGTAAGTTCCTGCTCGAAACCCATCACGAGATCACCTTCCTGTCGCTGTCAATTCCTCCGCTGGCCGGTGTCCCTTCGCCCGGGCTTTTGCCGTGGCCAAACAAATCCGGTAGCCGCAGCCGCAGCCGCAGCGTCGACAATTTTCATCTGAACACTGCCATGTACCGCGCAAATCTTTTCGATTTTGCGTCACACACACTCGCATTTTCGCCGATCACCAACTTCTGGAGAAGAGTCGCGACTGACAGTTCAACCCCAGAATCCCCTCCTTCCCCGAGAGTTCTAAATGCCCACCATCTACTCCTCCCTCTACCAGAATTTCATCCGTCAAGGATTCGCGAAATCATTCACCCACGGCTACGCCCAGTCCGTCGTAGCTGCCACACATCCCATCCTCAACACCCAAAACCGTCCGTCGTTCGCTCGTCGGAACACCAACCGATTCGGTCGCCTCCAGTCCCTCCAGCTTCAGTCCGCATTCCACAACGAGCGGACAACTTCGGGTCTTCCTGAGCATCGCCACGAGAAGCTCACCAGCAAGCATGGAAGTCTAGACGCTTACTTCGAGGCCCTGCACAAGCAGCAGGAGCAGGCCAAGGAGGAGGATCTCGAGGAGGAATGGAGCCAGTTCCAGTTCCAGAGGCAGATTGAGTGGCAACCCTCAGAGGATGCTGTTCTTGCCGGCGAGTCCAAGACCCTCGAAGTCCAGGAAGCTGCCCAAGATGGAGAGATACCATCGAGCATCCCCCCAGAGGCTCAGGCCGCCCTGGCCGAGATCGACGCAGCACTGGAGAGAGAAATCGAGTTCAGGAACCGCTTGGAAGCCTTGGAAGAGGCTTCTGAACACTCCATCCGATCAGTCTCTCCCGCCCCCCGCTCCTACCACTCTCCGGCTATCGACCGATCCAGGACACCGTTCAGCGTGCGCACCGGTACGCCTCCCGTGGACCCTCAATCTCAGGTATACGCCGACCACCTTCAGCACCTTTCCGAGGATGGCCGCTACACCGAGATCCCGGCCGTGTTCGAGGCCATGCTCGTCGCCGGCACCCAGCCCATTGCTAGTGCCTACAACGCTCTGTTGATGGCCGCCATCCACCTGCCGAACGCCAAGAATGAGATCGTTACCAAGGCGCTCGATGTGTACGCTGACATGCTCCGCCGCAAGGTGGTGCCCGACAGTGACACTTACAACATCTTGGTCGGTCTGCTTGCTGCGCGCTCGTTGGAGGTTGCTGCTCTCAAGAAGTCTCTCGATGACAAGCGCGTCCGTTTTGGCGGCATGGACGAGCCTGGCAAGTTCATGTTCGCTTCCAGCGAACTCGAGCACGCCATCCTCTCCGAGGATGACAGACTTGACCTGGCCATGAACATGTTTGAGAAGTCCGTCCTCACCCAGAGGGCTTCTTACTCGGCCGAGTCATACCACCAGCTCATCTCCGCGTGTGCTCAAGCCGGACGTGTTGACGACATGCTTCGCCTCTACGAGCACATGGAGTTGAACCGTGTCACTCCTTTTGCCGCCATGTTCCCCGCCATGATCACTGCCTTCGCCACCTCTGGCGACCTGGTCAGCGCGGTCGAATGCTACAACGAGTACAAGGACCTCGCCATTGCTAACGACAAGGGCGAGCCCACTTTGAACGACAGACTCGATGCTGAAGTCTACGCAGCTGTCATCCATGCCTACATCGTCTCCGACAAGGTCGAGGGAGCTATGAAGTTCTACGAGAAGATCATCAAGGAGTACGAGGTCCGTGCTGGAGACATCAAGGACGCCATCGTGAGCTCTGGCTTTGTCAAGGCCTTCACTGACCGCGGCATCTTCAACGAGGCCCTTCGCTGGGCTCAAGTTGTAGAGGCTGAGTTCAGAGCGGACCCGATGAGCAGCCTGGCAGCTCGCGCTGCGGACAACGGTGACAAGCTTACCGCCATCGCAGCCTTCGCCAACCTGCCTGTCAACTTCCAGCCCATTGCTACTCCTGCCATGGCCCTTCTCGCTCTCAGCGTTCGCGAGGGAGATGTTGCCTCCGCAGCTCGCTACTGGGGCATTCTCTGCCACCCCGAGACTATGGTCACCGCCGCCTTCATCGAGCCCACCGCGATGTTTGCCATTGCCATGATTGGTTCTGGCCAAGTTGCTGAGGGCTTGTCGCAGGCGGAGATGATGTTCCAGAGAATTCGCGTTGTCTGCCCGGAGCACGCTGACGAAGTTGACGAGGGTGTCGAGTTCGTTCACCAGTTTATGACCAGCCGTAACATCGCGGACCCCCGTGAGATGGCTTCTCAGGTGAACTCGGCCTCTCCTTTCCCGTCTACTGCTACTGTCTCCAGTTTCGAGGATTCCTTCGACCCGTACGCCCACAACACCGACTTCAAGGGTTCGTCTCTCATCTCTGATGAGCTTGAGGGTGCGCACGGTCGCAAGGGTCCCAGACTTCACGACGCTCTTACCAGGTTCCGCAACATGCGCCGCGCTGGCCGCCATCCTCGCTACATCACGTACGCCAAGCTGATCTCTGCTGCCGCTCGTGAGAGCAAGATGGAGCTGTGCAATGATATTCTCGCCATGGCCCGCACCGATGTTCCCCTCCTCCCCCAGTACGCCGTTGTCCGTTACGGCTGGTCTTCCATCCTGGACGCCATGGTTGGTGCTTGCCTGACGATGGGCAGCCGCCAGATGGCTGAGCAGTACCACCAAGAACTGCTTGCCATGGGCGCCGCTCCCTCTGCGAACACCTTCGGTCTGTACATCACGACGCTGAAGGAGTCTGCGAAGACATTCGACGAGGCTTCTGAGGCTGTGAAGATCTTCCACCGCGCCAAGGCCGAGGGCGTCGAGCCCAGCTCCTTCCTATACAACGCTCTGATTGGCAAGCTGGGCAAGGCTCGCCGTATCGACGACTGCCTGTTCTACTTCGCTGAGATGCGCGCTCTCGGAATCAAGCCCACGTCTGTCACCTACGGAACCATTGTCAACGCTCTCTGCCGCGTGAGCGACGAGAAGTTTGCTGAGGAGCTGTTCGACGAGATGGAGGCCATGCCCAACTACAAGGCCCGCCCCGCCCCCTACAACAGCATGATGCAATTCTTCCTGACCACCAAGCGCGACAAGAGCAAGGTTCTCGCCTACTACGAGCGTATGAAGACCAAGGGTATCGCCCCTACTGCGCACACGTTCAAGCTTCTCGTCGACACCCACGCTACCCTGGAGCCCATCGACATGGCCGCTGCCGAGGCTGTCCTCGAAGACATCCGCGCCTCCGGCCAGAAGCCCGAACCTGTTCACTTTGCTGCCCTGATTCACGCCCGCGGCTGCAACCTCCACGACATGGAGGGTGCTCGCAAGGTCTTCGACTCCGTCATGGCTGACCGCTCCGTCTCTGTCAATGCCAGCCTCTTCCAGGCTCTGTTCGAGGCCATGGTCGCCAACCACAAGGTCGCCGACACCGAGGCTGTCCTTGGTCAGATGCGCCGCCGTGGTGTTGAGATGACTCCGTACATCGCCAACACTCTCATTCACGGCTGGGCCGCTGAGAAGAACATCGACAGGGCTCAATCCATCTACGACTCTGTCGGCCACGCCAAGCGCGAGCCCAGCACATACGAGGCCATGACCCGCGCCTACCTCGCCGTCGAGGAGCGTGAGAAGGCCAAGGGTGTTGTCGGCGAGATGCTTTGCCGCGGATACCCCAGCGCTGTTGTCAACAAGGTGCTGGAGCTCCTCGGCGGCGGTGGTGGTGAGGAGGCCGTTGCTCACAACTGAGCATCCTCATCCACACGCCATTCTGTCAATTCATCGAAACACGCATTGAGCCATTGCTCTGCGCGTTCCTTCTGATCACTATATTTCCTTTGTAATTGCCCTCATCTACCGTTTTGTTTGATACCCCGTAGTGTTTTGACGTCGGTGGACCGAGGGTTGGGGTGTCTGGGTAGGATGGGCGGCCAGGTTGATAATCGGCAGTGCGCCACAAACCGTTTTCTTATATCGTTGTTTTGATTCAGGAGTCTGATTTGGGAGGTCGAATTCATGCCCGATATTTCGGGAGGTACGGCGTTGCGGAAAAGGGTCAAAGGGACAGAGCACTCGTCCAGGGGCTTTTTCGGAAAGCAAGCGATGACGGCCATTGGCCCAAACCATAGACAACACTCCACTCAGCATATCAAAAAGAGAGCGCCGGGTAGAAGCGCGAGGCAGCATAGAGGATCAGGGACGGGACGGACGGATAACGGATATCTACGAGGTCAGATTACGACATGCCATGAAGGGGCGTGTGGTCCTGCTGTGTGTATATTATCGGCAGCATTCTAAAGAAAAAAAACAAGACCATATTTCATGTTCAAACAATGCTTTCTGGTATGAGACGATGTGTGACGTGAACTTCTGGCCGGTTGTGAGCCTGTCAAGTTAGAAACATCAGTGCCCGACAGACAGCTCTGACGTCCGCATGTCTTGTATTGGATGTTTCGAAAACATGCGGAAGCGCGGGGGCGGCCCAAGCTCTCAACGGAACAGGAAGCTCAGGAAGCTGACAGGATGAGAGCTCGGTGCGTCGGGGAGAAGACGAAGTAAGCCTTGGCGATGTGTTGTCTTGTGTCTGTTGGATTTACCTTCTCGATCCAACGGCATCGGCCGGGGCATTTTTGGAGAGGGGCGCACTTGCCGGAGGAAGAAGCGGATTGGTCCGGAGTTTTTCTCCATTGCTTACTACTGTATTTTAGCAGGATCCCTCCCCCCTCACTCCTTTCCCACGATGAGGTCCAGTGCTGTTCAAACTTTCAATTGCCTAGCTAATCTTCATCACGCCTGCGTCATCATCACACCGCCCACACACACCCCTCCTGCTCTCATCGGCGGTCCGACACCCCTTCGGATCAGGTTTCATATAGAGCACCCTTGCGGGACTCGTTGGTTCGAACAAAGTCCCCAATTGGCGATCTTCCTTTCTTCTTTTGCTCTTCTCGTCGAAGGATTTACCGTCGGGAAGACGGTTAAGCGAAGACATTCCCCGAGACCAGGCCACTCAGAAGCAGCGGAAAGAACTCCGGAAAGAAGACTACGAATAAGAGAAAGAAAAAAAGAGTTTTGAAGAAGAGATTGAAGACAGAGAAGAGTTAGGAGGAAAGAAAATGTCAAAGAACACGCAAGACCCGACGACGACGACGACGGCCGTCTCGGCGCCGGGCAAGGTGCTCCTCGCCGGAGGCTACCTCGTCCTCGACCGGGCGTACACGGGCCTGGTCTTCGGGCTCAGCGCGCGGGTCAACGTCGTCGCGGGCGAGATCCGCACGTCGCCCGGCGTGCACCTGACGGAGATCGTGGTCGAGAGCCCGCAGTTCCTGGACGCGACGTGGAGGTACGGGTTCCACGCGGCGCCGGAGGACGGGGGGATTACGGTTACGCAGTTGCAAGTGTTAGTTTTTTTTTTTTTTTTTTTTGCCGTATTTCTTTACTTTTTGGTCGTGTGTGAAAGCTTTGAGTAAGATGTGGATGAGAGGTTGAGTTAGTGTGGTGAGATAAGGTTGTGGTGAGTGAGTTTGTCAATCTCACTCATGGCTGGATTGTCAATTGCTGTGAGGGGAGTGTGTGTGGGATATGGCGCAGGTTGATCTTCACAGATCGACATCAGCCTCATTCTCTTGCCTATGCGCTTACTCACTCAATTCAACCTCATCAACGACCCCAAACCATGGAACATCACTAACCAAACCTCAGCGGCTCCAAAATCAACCCAAACCCCTTCGTCGAGACAACCCTCTCCTACGCCCTCACCTACATTGCCCGCATCAGCAAGCAGCGCCCGAACCACGTCCTCACCTCCACCCGCCTCATCATCCTCGCCGACAACGACTACTACTCCCTCCCGGAGTCGTCATCGTCCCAGCCCGCCACCGGTTCCCACGGCCGCTTCGCGCGGTACCCCCACACTCTCGGCGAGGCGCACAAGACGGGCCTCGGCTCCTCCGCCGCACTCGTGACCTCCCTCACCGCCGCCCTCCTCACGCACCACCTCCCGCCGAACCTCTTCGACCTGGGCACCGAGGCCGGAAGGCACACGCTGCACAACCTCGCGCAGGCGGCGCACTGCGCGGCCCAGGGCAAGGTCGGCAGCGGCTTCGACGTCGCGGCCGCCGTGTTCGGGAGCTGCCGGTACCGGCGCTTCTCGCCCGCCCTGCTCGAGGGGCTCGGCGCGCCGGGCAGCCCCGGGTTCGGCGAGGCGCTGGTCCGCAAGGTGGACGAGTTCCAGGCGTGGGATGTGGAAGTTGACAAGGAGGGCGTCAGCCTGCCCCCCGGGGCGTGTCTGAGGATGTGCGACGTCGACTGCGGGAGCCAGACGGTCGGGATGGTGAAGAAGGTGTTGGCGTGGCGCAAGGCGGACGCGGAGGGGAGTAAGACGCTGTGGGACGAGCTGCAGGGCAAGAACGAGGGTCTCGCCGCGGTTCTGAGGGAGGGCAGGACGGAGGAGGTCGGGGCCGCGGTGGAGGGGGTCCGGGGGCTGATTAGGAAGATGGGAGAGGGCAGCGGGGTGCCGATCGAGCCGCCGAGTCAGACGGAGCTGTTGGATGCGCTGAAGGGCGTCGAGGGGGTGCTTGGGGGTGTTGTTCCTGGTGCTGGCGGGTTCGACGCGCTTGCGTTGGTCATGAGGGACGACGAGGCGACTAAGAAGAGGGTTGAGAGTTTCTTGGAGGGGTGGAGTCGCGAGAAAGGGGCGCGGGTGAAGTTGTTGGGTGTTTACGGGGAGATGGAGGGCGCGAGGAGGGAGGAGCTCGATGTTTATGCTGGGTGGTTGTCCTGAGCTGGCCTACGGAAGGCGGTGGTGTGAGGAAGGTACATGGCAATCAACTGTGGGGTTCACAGAAAATGGCAGAGATAGAATCATAGCGACAATAGTAACGAAACAAACAAAACGAGCTTGAAGTGGAATAAAGAAACAAAAAGTGGACGTCGGGCTCGAGGTGATGTCGCGCGCGGCCTAGGAGCTCTCGGCGGCCTCTGGCGGGCAGCCGAGAGAGTGGGTGGGCCCGGAAAACGGGGCCTCGCTAGTGCTTAGCTTGATGAGCCGCTCCGGCTTCTCTCCAGTCATCAATCAAGTGCGGCGGACATAGCTCAGTTGGGAGAGCGTCAGACTGAAGTCAACTTCAATCACTTAATCTGAAGGTCGTGTGTTCAATCCACACTGGCCGCATTATCTTTTGCATTTTTGATCCTTTTTGGACTGTTCTGTTTCTTCAGGATATCATTTTCGTTTATGAACTTCTTGTCTAACCTGCTGCAATCGCGTTAGATCGGGAACGCTTCGTATCTTGAAGCTTTGACGCCGGTCTCCGGGCTGGTCCTGCCCACCGAAACTTTAAGCAAAGCGGCAAGAGAAAGCTTTTCGGTAAGTGCCATTCAGCCCTTGGGCATACATAGCTCCTTCTCGGCTTTAACTATTCCATTTGTTACTGAGGGAGGGGGCCTTCTTTGCTTGGATCAGCTTTCTATTTTGCGCCAAGGCCTTTTCAACAGACCCGATCTCAGACGCCTTCTCCCCATGTCCCCGGAGCCATCAACCAGCATCTTGTTAATTCTGTTGCCGAAGCCGGTTGTAACGGCAACCTCGACAGACATGGATTCGGCATCGAGTACACTCGTTAATAAAGAAATTCTTTGTCTCGTGGCACTCTTCACAGTTGAATTGTCCCCTACGGATTCCCCAAGTAGTATGGCGACACTCATGATTTCGAGAAAGATTACGAGCTGTTCTCTCAACACGGCGTGCCAGCCGCTGGGGGTTCAGGTTCGGGGCGTTGGGGTCTCGGTGGACGATGGCGTTGGCGCGAGCAATGAGTCGGTTCTCTTCCCACTGCGGGCAAGAGCATGTCTTCCATCTGGCGCTGCAGATGTAGCAGAACTGATAACCACATCGGCAAGCTGAAAGATTTACGTGTGAGCAACGGGAGTACGAGACGCGATGTTAGACTCCAGACGGACTTACTGATGTGATAGCACCCATGAGCCAACTCGACCAGACGGTTGCATTGACGACACTGCTGCCACTGATTCTCGTCGGCTACTTGCAGAACACTCTGGGTTGACTCGTCCTCCGGGCAGTCCTCGTTCCTGTGCTCCACGCCTTTGCACGTGGTACAAGTCCTGCGCCGACACCGCTGACACGTGGCGATGCTATCCTTGATGAACTCCTTCGGTATGAATTGCGAGCACGTTGGCCCATGACAATACGTCTTGTCCTGCGTCGACAGCTCGAGCTCCCTGGCGCGGAAGCGGCCGATGAGCTCCGGGGAGAGAAACACGCGGTTTTCCTCGACGGGTATGTGCTGGCCGCAGCATCGGGGAGGGAAGAGGGCCTCGTCGGTGATGGCCGTCTCGAAGAGCGTCCGGAGACAGTCGCGGCAGTATTCGTGGTTGCAGGGGCAGCGGGCGACGTCGGTGAAGTCGAGGTCGTTGAGACAGCTGTTGCACCTCCTCTTCCCCCTGCTGACGGCGTGGGATCTCGATTTGGATCGCGGGCGAGATCCTCCCCAGGAGGAAGACTCCGGCTGGTTCAGCATGTTGACGTCTTCGTCCTCGTCTCCCGCGCCTGTATCCATGTACATGATTTGAAGTTTCCGGAGAAACGCATCGTTGGATGAGGGATTGTACTGGCCTCCAGCCGCCGGGGGAGGACCAGGAGGAGGAGCAGGAGGCGGCTGTCTCGGAGGAGGCGAGGGAGTCACGTCTTCGTTTTCTTGGAAAAAGGGATCCTCGCGGCTCAGCCAGACAGCGAAGGCTCTGTCGTTCGCGGCTTGCTGCTCCTCTTCGACGATGGCGCTGACGAGTTGCCCGTCGCGGCGGTTTGCTTGGGCTATGCTCTTGCACATGGACCTGTCCGAGGCAAAGAGGGCGCGGGACTCGATCTCAGAGCGGTACATATCGATGGCGAAGTCGGCGTCTGGGAGCTCGTCCTCTCGGTGTTTGCCCTTGCTATTCTGTTTGAGTTCTTCCAGGTCCTCCATGTGCATCTGGAGGACCAGGTGGAGCGTCTCATCATCGATGTCGTAGCAAAGCATTCTGGTCTGACAGGAGCCTGACGAGCAGGCTGGCGGGAGTAATAGAAGCCGGGCCGAAAGCTGTTCTGGTATACTGATCACGTCGGTGAATGCAAACGAGGGACGTCAGGGATGACGTTGGGATAGGGTTCGCAGAGAGTTTCGTCGTTGGAGAAGGGACCAATGGAGGAAAGCTTGTCCCTGGACAAATCCCATCCACGAGAGAAGACGGAAATTGATGAGGAATTGAAGTGAGTGTCACGCTGGCAATTTCGCGAGAACCAGTCACTGAGCCGAAGGGGGCACTTGATCCGACTTGCAAATGGTGTCGAGTGGCTGGGGGAGATCAGTCGAGAGGGGAAACCTCAATCAAAACGATACGGTGAAAAATCAATGACGGAATTTCAAATTTCTTTTTCCTGGTGAATTGGTCTCAGACCTACATGAGTAGATCAACGGCCTCCAACATAACAGGGAGAAGCTCAAATGCCTCCGATATAAATCATCCAGTAATGGAAGAAACTGAATGATCGACATGCCAGGTCCCGCGTGTCAAACGGGATCTCCTGAAGCTTAGCTTGGTTCAAACGATCAATTGATTTCCGATTCGTCTCGCAGGATGATTGGCTTATTATTCATGATCGGATGAGATAACTTGAAATAATTTAAGAGAGTGTTTGTTGTGATCTTTGACTTCCTTCATAATAATAGGGGCAGCTGAGCTATCGAGAATGAGATTGAGACTGAGTGAGGGGAGAGAACTTACCTTGAGATTGAGAGCAAGTGAGAAGGCGGAAGACTCATACACTACAGAGAGCTGCAAGCTTAAACGGGTGGATAATGAGTGTCGGTAGCATACCTTCAACCTTGAAATCTCAAATTATTTCACGATGAGAAGTCACTGCATCTCACTCATAACTTTCATCTATGAAATTAGGCGACTGCGACCTGCCAGATGGGAAAAACGGGTGAGCACAGGGCCCCCACGGTGCCTGCATTGTGCGGGGCAAATGCATGGACTGATCCATCCATGTCCAGACCGCCTGCCTATTGGCTTGAATAGTGGAGTCTATCTAAACGCCGATCGCGATAAGGCTTTTTTGCCTGGGAAAATTTCAGATTTCGCTTCAGCGACCTTTCATCAGTACTGCGATCAACGACATTTCGACGACAAAATGGCGGACGATGGCATGATTATGAACTTTGACCTGGGGTCCGGCCCCATCAAGCCCCAGGTCAAAATTCAAGGCGGTCGCTGGCGCGACAGAGTGAAGGCGCAGCAAATCGCGAAGGGTACGAACCGGAACAAGCGTCCTGCATCACCATCTTCAGATGCCCCGCCGCCGCAAAGATGGACGCCGGCGACGAGGAAATCCCATGATCACGCCGGCGACGACGATGGCGCTCACTTCCGCCCAGCCAAGCGACCGAGAGCCGATCCTCCACGGCCTTCTTCTTATCAGACCGGCAAGCTGCCTCCTGGCAGCATCTCCGCCGGCGGCAGACCGAGAGACGGTCAGGTTACCTCCAGGCTCTTCTCTTTCAACCCGACACCCAAGACGGTCTTCGACGAACCCAACGATGAAACGGTTGAAGAAGTAGCGAAAGAGCCATCCAACGCACCGTTATCCGATGAAGCTGCCAGTTTCCACGCCCTTGGTTGCTCAAGACGTCTCGCCCTTACGCTCTCAGGCAAGATTCAGCTGAAAGCACCCACAGCTATTCAGTCCAAGGTCATCCCGCAATTAATCAACGAAGACAGTGACGCTTTCGTGCAGGCGCAGACAGGTTCCGGAAAGACGCTGGCTTACCTGCTACCCATCTTGCAGCGCATCCTCTCAGTCGAGGGTCAGATCAAGAGAGACTCGGGTCTGTTCGCCATCGTTATGGCTCCTACCCGCGAATTGTGCCGACAGATCGACGTGGTTCTTGCCAAGATTCTTCCGCCTTACCTTGTCAGCACAACGGTCATCGGTGGTGAAAGCAAACATTCCGAGAAGAGCCGTCTGAGGAAAGGTGTAAACATTCTCATCGCTACGCCGGGTCGCTTGAGCGATCATCTCAATAACACCAAGAGTCTCGACGTGGGCACGGTCAGGTGGCTTGTTCTCGACGAAGGTGATCGCCTGATGGAGATGGGTTTCGAAGCGGAACTGCGCACTATTGTCAGCAAAATCCGTGAAGGTCCGTTGGCGGACGAAACGGCAAATGGAGTTTCCCTCGCTGCGTTGCCCAAGCGCCGCGTCACCGTACTCTGCTCAGCTACCATGAAGATGAACGTCCAGAAGCTGGGCGAGATCAGTTTGGAGGATGCTGTGCATATCACGACGTCGGAAGAGGAGCAGAATGGAGAGGAGGAAGTCAAGTTCGAAGCCCCGGCGCAACTAAAGCAGAACTACGTCATCGTACCTGCCAAGTTGCGACTGGTGACGCTGATTTCACTCCTGAAGTCAACATTTTCTAGAAAGGGATCGGTGATGAAGGCCATCGTCTTCCTTTCTTGCGCGGACGCGGTCGACTTCCACTTCGATCTCCTGCGCAAACCGCTATCCGAAGACGAGAAACCTTCGGGCAACCCCTCGCAAACAGCAAACACGGTTGCTCAAGCAGCATACATCACCTCACCCGCCAACACCAACATTGTACTTCACAGACTCCACGGTTCCCTACCCCAGCCAGTACGAACAGCGACACTGGCATCTTACAGCAGTTGCACCGATCCAACGGTCCTCATCACTACCGATATTGCCTCCCGTGGTCTCGACGTGCCGTCCGTCGAACTGGTTGTCGAATACGACCCTGCCTTCTCCGCTGCCGACCACGTCCACCGTATCGGTCGTACAGCTCGTGCCGGTCGTCCCGGAAAGGCCGTTCTCTTCCTGATGCCCGGCTGTGAAGAGGGCTACATCGAGCATCTCAAGGCCAAGAATGCTTCCCCTCCGAAGCCCGAACTTTACGACACTGTCCTCCAGCGTGGCCTTACTACGGGTATGGATTTCCCCGTGGAGACCGACGCAAAGCCCCTTCCGTCAACAGACAAGGGCTTCAGCGCCCGCGCCGAAAATGTTCAACTCCACCTCGAGCAGCGGCTCCTCATGCCGTCTTCGAAGACTCTCCTTGACGAGGCTCGCAAAGCCTTCCGTTCTCACGTCAGGGCATATGCTACGCACGTCAAGGAGGAGCGCGTGTACTTCGACATCAAAGAGCTCCACCTGGGTCACTTGGCCAAAGCCTACGGCCTGCGCGAGGCGCCAACAGGTATCGGACGTGGCGATCACAGCGGCAAGAAGGCCGTCATGAAGCAGAAGGCGGCAGGCAAGAGGGGCGACAGGAAGTCGTCTGGTAACGCGATGGAGGATGTTAACACTGGTGGAGGTGACGAGGCGAACGAGATGGAGAGGAGGATGAAGATGAAGATGAGGTCGGTGATGAACGCAGCCAGCGAATTCAACCTTGGTTGAGGAAGATGCTGTGTATTTCTTGGACTGCGAACTGGGTAAGAGTATAGATAAAAGGGCATATCTTTTAGCGTTTAATGGTCATATCCCGAACCGGGTCATTTTATTTGTCGAAGAATTTCTTCCTTCCTTCTCGCTATTTCCTTCTTTGGAACGCCCGATATATGTATCAAACGGGCGTCTCTTACCTCCATAGTTGAATAACGCAGAATTGAACACCGCATAATTGTTAGTGCAGGCTCACAGTTGTCTACCTAATCTCACCAAGAAGACTCAAAGAGCTCTTCACCAGCGCAACGCTGCCTACAGCCGGTCACCACCTTCGACTTTACTTCAGCCACATAAAAGCAGACGCACGAGCGCATTCCATATCATGAGGCTTTTTGGCAACATCATCCGCATTCTCCACCGCGCGCCACTGACCCGCTCACAAACATGACACGGCGCCTTCCTTGGGGATGCGACGATGACGCCCCCGTAAGGACACCCGTGAAGAAGAACACAACCAGCAATCCTTCTCGTAAGGAAGTCACACCATCACGAGCCAGTGGCACCCCGAAGCCGAAGGCGACACCGACGCCGCGCGAATCTTCGAACCGTCCCTCAGCTCGTCCGAATGGCTCTCACAGAGGTAACTTACTCAGGTCCCATCGCTGCTCACTAAAAGTTCGCTAAGACGCCGCAGATCGGAGCCTGTCGACCTCACCACCACCGCAACCACTTCCGGAAACGTGAGTCCTCCACCCTGTTGCACCTCCCTGCGCATCATTGACGCCAGAATAGCCCCATGATAGAAGGTCTCGAGAATGACGACCAGTATCGCATGGTCGAAGATGAGTTCTTCACGGTCGCTGGACAATTCACCGCACACCTCCACGCGGCGGAGTACCATCGTCTCAAGACGCAGACCAAAGCGCAGAACGCGGAAACCATCAACAGCATATCCCGCCCCGTCGTCGGCTCACTGACCGAGCTCGCACGAAGGCGCCAGGAAGAGCTACTCCGCAAAAAGAAGCAGCGCGAGGCGCTCCGGAACGCGAAGAAGGATGCCGGTATCGACGACGAGAGTGGCGATGAGACGATGCCGTGGAACGGAAGCTCGCTGCAGGGACTTATGGATAGTCCGCAGAAGAAAGAGGTACCGCTGACGGCGCTGACGAGAACGTCTTCGGGGACCGGGGCGTCGTCGTTGTTTGGGGGTATTATGAAACCGCAGAACAAGAGACCAGCGGTGAGTAAGAGGAGGAGAGAGATTGAAGAGGAAACGGAGGACGACAGCGATGATCTCGATACTCCATCGCAGGGCCTTGCGAGAACAGACGTGGGCCGTGGTGTCTCCCATGCCGGAAGACCGGCAACAGCCCCGAAGTCTACCGCGCCGAGAGTGGCACCACCATACAAAGCCGACAGCGCCGCGACTCTACCAGCAAGCTCAAGACATACTTCGCATGTCAGAGAGCAACTCATCGCGAAGAGCGCAAGCAGGTCATCATCGACCAGCGCAACACCACCAACAACGACAACCATAACCGCCAGTAACGAAGATGACGATGACGACGATGATGAACTATTTACGCGATTCAAGAATCGCACCGCAAATGCGAGGCAACGACGGCGAGTTCCGGCCAAGAAGGACGATAAGAAAGGAGGACAGGAGTCTGGCGACATCATCCCGACATTTATATGAATCCAAGAGATCCCAGATACCCTAACCTGATAGATTGACTTTATCAGACTTCCAAGTACGAGAAGCCCGGTCTTTTGCCATAACTGAAATTGCCCTCACCATCCATATCCATGCAAACGACCAACAAAGGAAGACAACCGCGTGTTTCCCAGTGTACTCTTTCACGCTTGTCGCTTCAGAACTCCTTGCCGCTTCTGTTCTAAGGTTAATTATGAGTTAACTGATGGGGCTGGCAACCCAGCATCGCTGGGTTTTGCTTCTCCTCTTCTCTTCAACCTTCAATTTTCCCTTCTGCACCTTCTCTACTTTCCCTATACTTGCACTCATCTCTAAATCACCAGCTTCAACACCTTCTCCAATGCCAGGCAGGAAGAACCGCAGAAGGGCAACGGCAGCCTTGGTTGCCGTCAAGATGGAGACCAGCACGGAGGACGATCTCCCCGTTGCTTCGGTTGCTGAAAACGACTATGGTATGTATTATGTTGCCCCTTCCCGCAATGCTACTGATTCAAATCGCTAACGGCTCATTCAGCAGAGACCATCAACATCAGAGAAGTCGTTTCAATACCGCCTTCTTCAGCCTCCCCCGGCCTCCCTTCGCTGCCTCCCGTGAGGATTCCATATCCGGCTCAGCACGACTTGCTCCTAAAGGTCCAAGACATCCTCGAGAGGGCTTGTTTCGATTATGCGCGAAGAGAGCTCCCCGACCTCCTCAAGTCCAGAGGTTGGACATCGTATCAGTGTGCAGAGTTCACTCGGTGGACACGGATACTCCCTCACCACCTCGGCAACAAGCAGGTCCCCGCCCCATACGAGAACATATTCTCTTTCTTTGCGTCGGTGCGTGAAATGAGAAACACGGTAGTCCACCGCCACCACCGATATGCTACGAAGACCATGAGGTACCTCGAGGACTCCAAGACTCTTGCACTCATGTTAGGCGATCGACAGTGTTGGGAGACCCTCGACCGGCTGGCGCTGGAGACGCAGGATTTAGTGACGAAGCTGACTGAAAATGTCGCATCCCTCGAAAGGAAACATCATGATTTCGTGCAGGAGATCAACGAGCAGCGGGAACAGCTTCATCGACTCGAATGTGCTTCGTGGGAGAAGGCCAAAGAGGAGAACTTGGACTACCAGAGGCGTCTTGGCGAATCTTACTCCGAGACTATCAACAACATGGATTGTGCCTCGAAAAGGTGTCCCCTTCATCATGAACAGAGTCAGGAGGTCATTCCACACCAGAAGAAGGCGTCCTTCAACATTCTCCGCTTGATCTGGAATTTCCTCACTCGCCAGGTCGACGACGAGGTGGCTCAACCAGAAAGTTCTGAAAGTTGATGAAACGGCACACATCCTCGGTTGAATCATCTTGGGACACTTGTAGAAAGGACAGAAAGGTACGGGACGAACAGAACTTCCGAACTTTGGCATGGGATGGAGGATTTGCATTCACGACGAACTACTCAAACGCCTCAACAGTGATGATGTTCTTCATCCGACTCTTCCACGAGCGCAATGTCACGCTTTTCCCTTCCGCTACGCGACACGAGCTCTCGGCCCGCCAGCTTCTTGATGAGATTCGTTCCGTCCACAGCGAGCGCCGAAAGGACATGGGCGGTGGCCTGGAACACAGAGAGTTAGCTACTAGCCAAGACCTAGTTAGAGACTAACGGAACAGGAACTTGCCTTCGCATTTATCGCAAGCTGCTCGAAGTCCGGGTTCTTGATATCGTCGCATGCTTGATGGTAACACGGGTCTGCCGTGCCGGTGTGAAGACCTCCGATCGGTTTGTTGAGAACCTGCCAGAACGATGCGTAGTCACTTCCGTTGGTGAACCGGGCCGCTGTGACGCTCAATCCCTTGGCGATGAGTTCGGCGGTGAACAACTCCTGGATGACATCCGAGCCGGCCGGCGCCGGCACACCGTACGAAGCTCCGTCGCCGTCGAATACGCCGTAGTAGCCCTTGGACACCATGTCGAAGTTGAGGTACGCCAGGATGCTGTCTGCCTCGGATGCAGGGAGGTTATTGACGTAGTAACGTGAGCCGATGAGCCCTCTTTCTTCGGCACCCCACCATGCGAAGCGAATCTTGTTGTTGACGGTGTACTTGCTGAGGGCTAGGAACAATTCTAGTAGTAAAGATGATCCAGATCCTGGAGAAGTTAGTCGGGCAGTTCTATGGCGCAACATCAACGCGGATTCAACTGACCGTTGTCATTGATTCCCGGGCCCCAAGCAACGCTGTCTAGGTGAGCACCAAGCTGGGTCTCTGTCAGTAAATGATATCAAAATCCGAGGCAGACACACTTACGACAATCACATTTTCGGGATCTCCCCCTTCGGTCTCAGCAAAGACATTCTGGGTCACCCGGCTGTCGACAAACTCATCCTCCCAGAAGGAAGCCGTCGGGACCTCTCCTGCAATCAGACGATCCCAGAGCGGATCCCCGATGAACTTGTTCACGAAGCCGGTCGGGACGTAGGTGCCATCGTCAGCTGGACCAAGCGTGCCCGCGGTGAGATTGAACTCAAACGTCGAGATCACGATCACCGCACTAGCACCAGCGGCCGCAGCCGGCTTCATGACACCGGCGTGGTACCCGTCGCGGAAGCCATCGCACAGCGTCTCCCTCACCAACACAATCTTGCCAGCAACGTCGCGACCAGCGTATGAAGCTGCATCGCAGGCCGCCGTGCCGTCCGGCCCGGCGACGAGCTCGGCAGTAATGCCCTCCGCCGGGGTGGCAGGGGACTGCGACAAGCCGTAGGCCTGGAGCCTCTCGTTGTTGACGGTGAGGTTGGCTCTGATCTCGCTGCTGAAGACGGCGGAAAAGTCCTGTTTCCAGACTTTGGCGCCTTCGACACTGGAGATGCGGTCCCAGACGAAATCCACCGAGGCGTCGTACCCGGGGTAACCGAAGGCGCGGTTACCACCGTTGGCTGTTGCGATGTCGTTCAGTCGGACCAGGTTTGCTTCTAAGCTATGAGATGTGAGTGATTGCGATTCAGTCGACATCGCGAGAACGTTGAGAAGAGAGTCTTACTTTTCTCTGGTGATCTGGGCCTGGAAACTGGCCGAGTCGACCAGAGGCTTCTTGGCTTGGCGACCTTCGACTGCGCATGCGCCGAGTCCGATCCAGGACAGGACCCCGGCCGTCAATAGAAGCTTCATCTTCAAGACTGCTGGCGAGCTGCGAGATAAGATCGGGTCTCAGGCTTCGCTGGTTAGGTCTTCTCCATGCCCGGGGAAGGAACGCCTTTAAATCTATCGAGGTGTGCCCGATGAGTGATGGGATGGCATCATGTCGTTTTCGGTTGGACCCCTGAACGGCGTGTCGAAGAATCAGGAAGGTCGTAGTGCAGCGTCGGGACCTAAACCCGATTTCTGTGCCTTCCCCGGCAGAATCCACCTCTGGCCACGCCAAGACTTTCTTTACGATGTCCAAGTTAATTACGATAATGCAAACTTTGGGAAGGTACTTGCGTATGTCTCTTCACCTGTTGATTCATGGTCTTATTTTAGGCAGCGCAACTGAAAAGTCATGTTATGAATGCCATTTAGCCCTTGTAGGCCATCACTCTGTCCATTTTGCCAGTCCTGGACTCGCATCTGAAGCCTGTCGTTCTCCAGTTTTGATAGTGGACAGAATGATCTGCCGGGAAGGCATCGGATCTACCCGCCAAGCCTCATATGCTTGGATGCACATTAGTCATGCGCTGCTGGGCCTGACAAGTAGAGGATTGATTCCATATTGATGTCAGATAAGATCATGACTGCCATATCATGTGCGAATATGTGTTGGAGGTGAAAGTTGAGGATGAGAGGAAAGCTGCTGGCCGGATGCACTCACCACAGCTGAAACTAAGTGCAGCCAAGGCGATTTACTATCATTCAAATTCCTTTCAAACCCGTTAAATAAGAATCTTCATGTTAGATAGATCCGGCTGACAAGCTTTTCCGACACAGGAGACAGTGTGTGGACCAAAGCCGCGGTATAGGCTGTTTCTAACTTAACACTGAAGAAAGCCGACTAAGACAGAGATCTTTACTTGTGATCTCATTATTAATAGAAGAAGAGATGTTATATGATAATGAGCTGATTGAAACGGGAGCGTTCTAGTTGATCCGCGTGGATGTTGAGAACATTCAATATCGAAGGACCCGGTTCGCCACCATAAGCATATAGTCGTGCTTCTCAGATTGCTCTAGGATGAGGTTTAATTTGTTGCTGGAGAATGAGCGTAATCCTCATTCAGCTGTGTGCATGAAAATAATATGCACTTTGGGGCTGACGTTGATCGACGTTGAGACTTTGCAAGCCAAAGCTGCAGCCACATAATCTGAGAAGTATAAAATTGTTTCGACGCGGCCAACCCCAAAGCACGAAAAGGGCTGCCAAGGGTAAGAACTGAGAACAAATGTGGCATAATGAAGTCACCTCGCTAAGAGAAGGCTCTCCAAGGGAATGCTCTCCATGAGCACGCTCCCTAGAATGAGGCTCCCTGGGCCCCGAGTACAAATATGTCACATTCGCTTCCTAGGCGTCCGAAATGATTTACTCGGTCTTTAAGCCTTTTGTGTGTTCTTCTGGCATCATTCTCATTTCACGAAAAGTTGTCAAAAGCTTTCGAAGCTCATAGTGAAGTTAGAGCCGTGACAGCAAATCGACAAGACATCATGGTCCTGACTGACCTCAGCGATGGCGGTATCTCCCAGCCTGCGCCTGAAACCACGACAGCGGACCCCGAGAAACACGCTGGAAAAGACTTGGAAGGGGAAAGTTTGACTGCGAGTCTCCCGGATACGCCAAAGTCGAACTGGAACAAGCCGATGTCATTTTATCTCGCTTTCGCATCGCTATGTATCATGGTATTGGCCGTTTCACTGGACGCCACGATGCTGGCTGTGGCCCTTCCGGTAAAGACCCAATAACCATTTTCAGCAACTGGAACTTGATCTGACTATCATCTTCAGGAAATCACATCTCAGCTTGGAGGGTCTACTCTCGAGGCCTTTTGGGCAAGCATCTCTTTCATGCTCGGTGTTGTGGTCACTCAGCCGATCTACACCAGTGCATCCGACGTCCTTGGCCGAAAAATGTCTATATACACGGCATGTGTTCTATTTATTATCGGTTCCGTCATTTTTGCAGTTTCAAAGTCTATGAGCATTGCAATTTCGGGACGCGTGATTCAGGGGCTGGGCGGCGGCGGACTCGACGTGGTGACTGAGATCATCATCGCCGACATCACGACCTTGAAGGAACGACCCCTTTGGATTGGCCTTCTTTCGGTGCCAATGGCCTTGGGAAGTCTTGCTGGGCCGATTATCGGTGCGCTACTGAGTCAATACTCAGATTGGCGATGGATTGGGTGGATGAATCTGCCCATCATCGCCGTGGCCGTGGTTCTGGCGTTCTTCTTCCTGAACTTGAAACCGATGAGCGGAAGCCTGTGGTCCAGAATCCGAAGGCTAGACCTTATTGGAATGCTTCTGTTCGCAGCTGGCTGCACCCTGTTCTGCCTGCCTCTTAGCTGGGCTGGAGCAATGTACCCCGGGTCATCCTGGAGGACCGTCGTCCCTCTCGTCATCGGCATTATCCTCATGATTGCTTTTGGGTTCTGGGAAACCAAGCCATCCGAACCCGTCTTCCCCTACAGGATATTCAAATCACGAACAGCTCAAGTCTCGCTCATCGGTGGTTTCATCCACGGCATGGTCATGTACACCATGCTTCTCTACGTCCCTCTTCACTACCAGGCGGTACTATTTCAGTCACCACTTCGCTCCGCGATCAGTATTCTCCCTATTTGTACCATGGCAGTGGTTCTCAGTGGTCTTTCCCCGGTCGTAGTAGAGTATACCAGACGGTATCGCTGGGAAATCTGGCTAGGCTGGGTATTCACCATCATCGGCACCGGTCTATTCGTGCTCTGGGATCGTAATTCGTCTACCGCCGAGCTCGCTGGATTCCAGGTTGTCACTGGCATTGGATTAGGCACTCTGTTCACGCTTCCGGCGATACCACTCCAAGCCTCCATGAGCAGCGTCAACGATCATGGCTTGGCCGTCGGTATCCTCGTCTCGTTCAGACTATTTGGTGCCCTGATGGGTCTTTCAATGGGCTCCACAACTTTCAGTAGCATTTTCTCCAGAGAGATCTCGTCTCTTGCACCTCTTCCAGAAGCCGTGGTCACTTTGGAGAACGCGAGCGAGGCCATTGCATTCATACCATTCCTCAAGCAAATGAATGGGGCTATCCCTGATGTGCTGATGAGTGCGATAAGGGATGCATACAATGAAGCCATGAGATCGATATGGTACATTCTCATTGCGTTTAGTGGTATCGGACTTATAACGTCACTATTCATGAAAGAGCTGACACTCGAGACCGAAGAGCTTGGACGGCAGCATCTACAAACCTCAGTTGACGAGGCCTCAAATCATTGAAACCGCCCTCGCCATACTACAACGCTGTGATTATGAACCATAACTAGTAATCCACAAAGACCCTTACTCAACATGTTTACTATCCTCCAGCTACTCCCGTGCATTGATACCGCGCTCCTTTGCTTCGTCCAACGTTTTCATAGTGTGTTCCCAGACTTCCTGACTCAATCCCTCTTCACGTACCTTGTCATAAATGCGGCCTTTGTTCTGGATGTTTCCCTTCGGTCCGGTGGCATAAGATCCTCCTCCAATTTCGCCCTTCGTGCTCAAGGGAACGCCCGACCCATCAGCGAACTTGAAGTCACCCTTGACCGCACCGCGAGCAGGGAACCGCGAGGTTCCCAGAAATAACATCTCTTGACCACAAACCTCTGGGGATGTCATGAAGAGGCTAGCCACAGGCTTGAGAAGACGCCACACAATGCGAAACCAGACGGGCATTTCAGAGCTGTAGAATCCCGGTCCGTCAACAAGTCCCGGGTAGACGTGAGTCAGGACGAGCTTTCCTGCGTGGCGCTCCGCCAGCTCCTCGAAGACGAAGGTCTTCATGAAGCAGGAGTACTTCCGTACACCAGTCACGCCGTAGACCTCTGGCGGCGGAAGTCCGATGGGCTTTTCGCCCGGCTTTGTGCCATCTTCAAAGCCTCCTGCGTAGACGGAAATCACATGCCCAGGCAGAGGTGAGGCAGTGAGCAGCGGTAAGAGTTGCAAGATGAAGCGGATTCGACTGTAGTAAGTCGTGGAGATGAAGCTATCCAGACCCTCTTTCGTATCTAGAGACGCATGTGAGCAAATCGTCGTCATGGCAGAGGCCAACGGGCTGGATTTACCAGAGCGCTCCTTTAAGATAGGGACGCAGTGAGTCATGTAGAGAAGATCCAGGTGCGGTGTTGAGCCATGGAAAGGCGACTGAGATTCCTGAGCAATGATTTCTGCGCTGCAGCGATCCACCTCGCTAATCAGCGCGAGATCTGATGCTTTGACGAAGCGCCAGTCGGAGCCGGGGCTGATCTGCTGTGCTTCAGCGATGACGGCAGCAGCGCGCTCAGCGTTGCGGCCGATGATGTAAACGCGGAGCTTGGATCCCTGCTTTGCGAAGACTTTTGCCAGGGCCTTTGCGATGTAGGAACCAATTCCTGTCGTGCCTCCGGACAGAGCGGCCACCATGGGAGCACCGCTCGCCAGTTGCGCGTTGGCCGACTGGATTACATCAAGTGTTGGCATCGTGCAGGGAATTTGGAGTTGAACTGGCACCGTGGTGTTAACTTTACGCAAATTGGGTGACACAAACGGATTGAGTGAGTAGGGAGGGGAGACCATCGACCAAAGGGCCATGGAATGTCGGCATCTTGACTGATATATCTCGTCAATCTCGGGGTTAAGTCAGCTTCTCCCGCGGGATGGCAGCTGTATACGAAGAAAGGCAATTAGTGGGCCCTTATTCCTTCGAGAGCCAGTGGGAATAAGCAGGCTTCGAGCCGAAATGCAAGAGACCAGAACTCATCGTGTCATTGACCAAGTCAGCACTAACCCCATATAGAGGATATTACTGCAATGGGCTCGCTTGGTGGCTTGAGGGAGGTCACAGTGAGACAGCATATTGTGTCGCTGTGGTGTACAATTCGATGAGCCAACGGAATCGAAGGCTGGTTCATGCTGTGCCGCAGAGAGCATTTCGCATCAGACGAGCAAAAACCGGAGTTTGGCAAAAGATCTTTTGTTCCCTAAGACCGAAACGCTATCAGCAAGTGAAATTTAGTAGAGCCCAATCTTCCGCTATAACTCGTTCAAGGAGGCCCGAGTGTTTCACAACTATTCTATGATCATGTTGTTGAATACATGTCTAGGGGATGAAGAAAATGAAGGCCGATTAGAAGTACTGTTGCCTTTAAGATGAGACGTGAAAAAACGAGGAAGAAACCAAGATGTAGAACCAGCCAGTGGTAATGTACCATAATCAGTTGTACTACTTTGCAAATCAATTCAGCTGTAGTCTGGTTGTAGCGTAACTTATTGAAAACAGTGTTTTACGAAGTGTGATGTCGGGAACTATCAGCAGATTCCGTAAACAGAGAGTTACAACAAAGAGAAGAAGAGTCTCAGCACCTAATTAAGCATTTTGCCAAGGGACTTATTGGTCAATATGTTCATCCTTGGAGCAATCCGCTGGACAGGGGTGGATTATCCCCTCCAGCTTCAGAAAAGCACTAGGACGAAGCGATTGATAATGAGCCTCAAAGGGATAGCTAGACCCATAACTGAAACTCCAGTATCAGCACAAGCCTAAAAAAGCTGTCAGGTACTCCTATCCATGACGCTTGCTTGCTTGTGCGATATCTAGAAAGAAAGGCTTGATAAACGATAACAATAACTGAATGCCGAGAAGAACCTTGGACAGTCTCTCAAGTTGCGTCGTTTAGTTTAGTAGACCCTGTTCTCTGCAACTTGCAGGAACTCGACCGAGGTATGCAGAAAGCTGGACCAGCTCTCGACAATGGCTAGCAACTTGTACTGAAGTAAAACGAGTGAAACAGGCAGCGGATGCGAAAAGTACCTAGAGGTCCATTGGCTGCAACTAAATAACGTGAGAAGGGGCTGTTGATGTATCTCGTGAAGTCGGATAGACCCGAGTGTCACCACCACAACATGCGACAAGAGGGGCTCATGATACTGAACTAAAATCCCCCCATATGCCCGAATGAGAATTAATGAAACAAGAGCCCCATTTCAATGTCAGTCTTTTTCCTAACCTGTCGCCGATTGCCCCGCAGACTTTGAAACCTTCGCAAACTCCGATGAACCTGACACGAACATGTCAAGTACTAGATTTAGTGAGTCCAGCGACTCGCCTTCATCCCTACACCATCCAACAAGCCTTTGCAGGCACTACCGAAGATCCGAAGATGCACGAAACACCATGTGCCCCGGACGACGATCGGTAAATCGGCACGTAGCGAATAACGCTCACCCTCGAAGCGGACTCTTCCGTCAGGCACAGCGACCCGAGGGGTTCGGACAGGTCGGATCCAGGAACTAACATTGTGTCTGATCAATACAAAAGAGGTAATTTAATTCGTCCAATCTTTCCATTCATTCAACGTACTGTTTTCTCGGTATCTTTCTCTTCTACATTGGGCCGGCTACCCTAGTATATGTTGCTGTCTGTTTGATACGGCCATTCTCTACTGAGTCTAGTTGATCCACTCGCTTTCGAAGCCTACATCCATTCTTTCAACATGCATTCCAACGCTCTGCTTGTCAGTCTTTTCGGCCTTCTCGGTGTAGCAACATCTATGCCCTCACAGTATGAGGTTGCGGTTGTTCCTCGATCAGACGCTTCTTTATCCCTCCGATCTCCTCAACCTCAAGCCCCGGCCCCGAAACAAGGTACCACTACCAAGGTGGCAACAACGCCCGAGACTTCGGATCCTCACGATAAATTTGATCCCAAAGTGGTGATTGGAGGAACCGTGCAATGCCTTGCTGCGACGTATGTCCCTTTCCGAGTTAGCGGCTCATCGCTGCCGTCTTTAATTCTGACTCTTCGTAGTGCACCTCCCAAGAATGATCAACTCATCGCGGAGCTATCTATCTGTGGCGGCATCAAGGCGCCTATCAACAATTGCCCAGGCACAGAACAGACTTCAACGGGCACGTCGGGCAAGGCGCTTTGGACTCTGAACGCCGCGGCGGGCGAGAAGATTAATATCTTCAAGGGAAGGTGGGAAGAATGCTGCAATGCTGGCCGAGCTACTTGCAACGGCAAGGCCTTCTCACTCCAGTGCGAGAATGGCACGGATGCGGGCAACCCAGTTACCATTACGCTGTCAAGCAAATGATCGCGACTTCCCAAATAATGCTGCCTCAGTGCCTGGCGATTCATGATCTTCAACATAAGAACCGAGTGAGTTAGGTAATGAAAGTAGTATTGTTCATCTAGGACCGAACAATCTTATCGTAATGAAATCAAGTAATAGGTGATCGACCCTTTGAAGCGTGAGGTGCCTGACGCGAATCGCGCACTTTCATGGCTATTTACAACTATCAGTCATCGGCTTTCGGGTTTGGTCACCTTTCCCGACAACCGGGCCGAACCTGTGATTCGGCTTACCGGGCATAGCATACCCGAGCGGGGTTCGTCTTATCAGCAAGTCCGTTGACGGACCCACGAGACGGCATACCGATGCCGCGGGGAAATCATCAATTCCGGGTGCTTTCACGGAGTTCTGTTCCGAAGGATATAAATGTTACTTTGTAAATATCATGTCTTATATACCCCTTCGAAGTCAAAACCAAGCAGTGGGAGTCCCCGAACAACAAGGAATTTGTGGCATTTTCGTTGCTAGTAAAACACCATTGATATGACGATCCAGGAACAACACGGCGCGGGCGCAAATACCCAAACGTTGCGAATTCAGCAACAGCTGAGTCACTACCTCAACCAGTACATCTCAGAAAATCAGAAGTCACAAAAATGCAATCAAGAAGCGGCAGCCTCATTGCCGGGAGGCACGACTAGGTCGGTTCTCTACTATGAGCCCTTCCCGCTGGCCTTCTCTGGAGGTCACGGATGTCATGTGACATCCGTGGACGGAGAAGAGTACCTCGACTTTCTTTCCGAGTATTGTGCTGGCATGTTTGGTCACTCGCACCCGAACATTATCGCAGCTGTCTCAAGCGTGTTGGAATCGGGCTTTACTCTGGGCGGGCCCGGGCCCAAGGAGGGCGAGCTGGGAAACTTGCTGGTCGACAGATTTCCGAGTATTGATGCCATCAGGTTCTGCAACTCGGGAACCGAGGCGAACACTATGGCAATTGCAACCGCCTTGCATTTCAACAAGAAAAAGAAGGTAAGCTTTTCTTAAGTTGAGTCAGGAATCGTTCATTGCCCATTGCCGTTACTGAGATACCCGCAGATTTTGGTTTTTGAGAACGGTTACCACGGTGGCACTCTTTCTTTCACACCAGGAAACCCCCTTATTCTTCCTCACGAGTACGTCTTTGGTCGGTATAACGACATTGAGTACACCCGACCAAAGATCAACGACGAAATTGGAATCATCATTGTAGAGCCCTTGCAAGGAGCTGCAGGCATGATTGCCGGAACCAAGGAGTTTCTGCAGTTTCTCAGAGACGAAGCGACCCGGGTCGGCGCCATCCTGATCTTCGACGAGGTCATTACGTCACGACTCAACTACGGAGGTCTGCAGGAAATTCTCGGCATCACCCCCGACATGACGACCATCGGAAAACACTTCGGAGGTGGATTCTCTTTCGGGGCCTTTGGGGGGAAGAAAGAGATCATGGACTTGTACGATCCCCAAGTCCCCGGTAGCCTTCACCACTCTGGAACGTGGAACAACAACAAGTTCTCCATGACGGCTGGTGTTTCTGCGACAAAACTCTTGACGCGAGAGGCTCTGGATAAGAACAACCGACTCGGTGACAAGCTGCGGGATGGCCTGCGTGGTCTCTTTGCGGGGAAGGACGAGTTAATCGTCACATTCACAGGCTTCGGGAGCGTCATTGGCGTGCACTTTAACGGGCCTTCGGCTGATAATCTGCGGGATTTGTTCTTCTTCTACTTGCTTAGTCGGAGGATTTATGTCGGCCGTCGGGGTTTCCTTGCCTTGAATATCACCCACGAAGAAGAGCATGTGAATAGGGTACTGGAAGCTGTCAAGACCTTCTGTGATGAAGTCTTGTAAGGAGGAATCTGCACCAAAGATCTGTTCGAAATGGTTGCAAAATGTTGGTTAGCGCAGGCATAGAGCTTTGTACCAGGGATGATTCGAGATTAAAAGTGTCAAAAATTTATCGTAGTTTTGTAAAGCATTTCTGAATGTCTACCTTGCAGCTGAACCTTTTGAAACATTAAGTAATGTCTGTTGGGAGTCTTTCTAGGCACATTTAGACGTAAAACCAAAGCAGACAATCTTGGTCTTGCCTCGATCATCGGCTCATAACATAGCCCTGCTTTCGATGCTCAGACAGGAAGGTTGATAAACGCGGAGGATCAAGTTATCTTGGCATTCAACCCAGAGTAGGTAGCGTGGTAACTCCTTTGATCCCTGTTTATCTTAGCAGATCTGCCTATCGCGCGGGGTAAACAGCACCGAAGAGGCGCGCTCGCACAGAGACCGTGCGCATAAGAACACACTGACAACCAATTTCACACTCGCGTCATTTCATCCAGACTTTCCGTGACAAGTTGAACGGGTTCGTTCGAGTTCAGTCCAGTCAACTTCTCTATATCCCGACTGCTCAGCTCCGGTCTTGGTCCGGACCGCGCATCCACAATGACGGACCTCCGCCTCCGCCTCCGCCGCGTAGCCCCACTTGCCCAGCTCTTGGCCATTGTCTCCCTTCATGCCGGACATGCCCTCGGCCAAGCTTCTCCGGGTTTCCCCATGGTCATTAACACATGGGGTGGCCCATTCACCGCCGCGACTGATGCCGCGTACCAGGCGCTTCTCAAGCCGGGTACCTCGGCTCTGGATGCTGTCGAGATTGGCTGCGCGACCTGTGAGGCCAACCAATGTGACGGCAGCGTCGGGTTTGGGGGCTCGCCTGATGAACACTGCGAAACAACGCTAGATGCCATGATCATGGATGGTGTCACAATGAAGTCTGGCTCTGTGGCCGCCTTGCGACGCATCAAGAATGCCATTGGCGTCGCAAGGCACGTTCTTGAGTACACCTCGCACACCATGCTAGCAGGCGACCTGGCGACGGAATTTGGCATCGAGAACGGATTCAAGGCAGAGAACCTGACCACCGAAGCTTCGGCGGAAAGGTGTGCTGAGTGGAGGCGCAACCAATGCCAGTCGAACTACAGACAGAACGTAACCCCTGACCCCAAGTCTGCTTGCGGCCCCTACACGCCCGTTCAGCTTGACTCGAGTTCCTCGGACTACTTCGACCTTATCGCGCCCAATTCTGCCCAGGCTTCCCACGATACCATATCCATGATGGCTCTAGACGCAAATGGTATCATGGCGGCAGGTACTTCCACCAACGGTGCCTCCTTCAAGGTCCCCGGCCGTGTGGGCGATGGACCGATTACTGGATCCGGCTCTTATGTTGATGGAGACGTTGGCGCTTGCGGGGCAACTGGCGATGGAGACATCATGATGAGATTCTTGCCCTGCTACCAAGCTGTTGAGAGCATGAGGAGGGGTATGTCACCACAAGAAGCAGCAAGAGACGCTGTTGTCCGGATGGTGAAGAAGTACCCTGCGGTATCTAGCGGCATTGTCGTGGTTAACAACAAGGGCGAGCACGGTGGTGCAGGCTCTGGCTGGACATTCACCTACGCTTACAGGGGCGGTAAAATGAATGCGACTGAGGTTGTTACTGTGCCTCCGGTCTGTGTGAGTCGGTCACTCAATGTGCAGATGCCTTAGCTTAGACAGAGTAACGGCTTTCATGACGAATAGAAGAGCTAATTCACTAATGCTCTCTCGACATGACTTCAATGCGTCTGTGTAAGAGCCCGCCCTCTGTGCAGATTGAGTATATGAAAGCATGAAATGCACGTACATGAAAAGAAAGCGCGTAAAAGTCAGGACTGTGCCGAAGCCCTAACCAGAAGCACGTCGAAAGTGCACGTAGTGTGACAGCCACACGTGGGGATCTCGAAGACAATACGAGAGCGGGGATTCATATGGCCAGTCTCACCCCTCTATCCAAGTTTAGTTTCGTGTGTAAGTCATGGGTAGGTTTGAGATATCGCCTGTCATCTATCATCTATCGTAATTGTTTGATAGAGAGCCGTGGTGGAATATGCCGAAACATGACCGCCGTTTGGCCGCAGCCAGGGGTAGGGGTGCTCCGTATCCAGAACAGGCTGCTTATTGAGAACAGTGGTCATATTCTACGTGTTATTCTTTTTTTTTTTTTGGGGGGGGGGGGGGGGGGGGGGCCGGGAAATATTTTATTATAAAATATTGTAAAAAAAAAAA